CCCCCCCCCCCCCCCCCCCCCCCCCATGTTGATTTGAGGGACAACACCTCATCTTGTATTCAGGTAAATATGGTATATTTTCTTTCATAAAGTGCTTAATTATTCTTTTATGAACAGTTATATGTGCTTTCCCTAAAATTCTTGCTTTCAATCTCTTTTTAAAAAGGTTCTCTCATCAAAGTGCTTTAGCCAAGATCCTTCCTTTATTTGATATTCCTGTTGGGATTTATGCATATAACTGTGGCTAGGTGAAATGTTTTTTATTTTTATATTTTTGGGTAAAAATACAAGAGAACAAGAAAATAAAGTGGATTTCAGGGTATACTTCTGATCTGTATGCACATTTTTCATGCCTTGCAGTAGTTCTAATTGTGCATCTCTCAGAAGCTGACAGCGTACAATGCACCTTTACAATACACAATATATTATTTATTTTTCATTTAAACTGTATCCCAAGTGGCGTCTGTATTGAATGAGTTTAATAGTAAACCATAGAGAGGGGAGAATTGCAGAAGTTCAGGTAAGGACAAAATCTGCTACTTATGAGAGGAGAGCAGGGGCGGGCAATTATTTTGGATGGAGGGCTGCTTACTGAGTTTTGGCAAGCCATTGAGGGCTGCATGACAGGCAGCCAGGGACAGATAAATATTAATTTTCTAAATTTTTTAGGGGCCCCGTGGGCAAGATAGAAAGGCCTGGCAGGCCGCATTTTGCCCGCCCCTGAGATAGAGGGAGGCAACGAGTATGTACAAGGGGGCAGTAATTGTAACAGGCAAGGGTTTTACACCAACCATAATGAGCTTATGGAGATCTAAATTGGCCTGAGAGAAGTGGCAGGAGCAGAGTGGCGAGAAGCAATGCTTGTGGCTAAGTTGAATGGAATCCATTTTGTTGGTGATCTTAATGAATGAAGAGTTGATTCAGCTTCACTGAACACCCCCCTCCTCCCAGCAAATGGGCCTTTACACAAGCTATCATAAGCTGCTCTAGTTTTTCATGGTCTGGTCTCTCCGTTTTGCTGAATAGAGGCATTAAAGTGTAATGTAGGTTAGAAAAGGAAAGCTTCCATAAGATTGAATGTACACTATATAATATTCAACAAGCATTTTAATTCTATTCTAGCATTAGAAAAATCAACTTTCTACTGTGAGTAATGATTTTCCCGTAAGTCTCTCTAATGTACTTGCCTCTTTCTCAGTCCCTTTGTCCTTGAATAAAAGTCTGATTCAGATTGAGTTCTCTGATTTCTCCCTGACTATACCACAGTCTGTTGTACTCCTCAAACTTTTTCCAATATCACTATACAGCCTGACTGCCTTGTGGCAGTTTATATGCATTTTAGTGCTTAGTGACCTAAACAAAAATCAGATTGGGCAGTGGTGGGAAAACTCAGTTAAGTCAATAGGGAGGTCATCTGGCAGAATGTGTGTTGATGTTGCTTTCGAGCAGACTCAAAGTGAGCAGAGATTGTAAAGGAAGAAATGCTTATTATGTATACTTAAATATTTGAGAGAGTATGCCCTTTCTTCTTGTTGCAGAACTTCTAAGCCTGTATTATAATATTTCTCTTGGACAAAATGTCTTGTGTATGATTGACTTTGCAGGCTCAGCTACGTGAATGCGAGGCTGAGCCAATCATACCTGGGAAAAGAATAACAAGTTTAACAACCACATCCATGGAATATTTGGGTTAGCTTAATTAACCAGGCACTGTTACTTGAGACTTTGAATCCCACTTGGGATAAAAGTATGAGCCTTGATGCTTTGTTTGCTAGTAACGTCGCTGTAATTTAAAAATGGAACAAGAGTCCAGTGGTTTGCAGCCTTTGGCCCATATACAACAACAATGAGCAGCATCATGCTTTGTTCTTGTCAGTCTTTATCTGTGGAAACCAACATTTCCTGAGAATGTAAGCAGCATCAGAAGGTTTTTCCATGAGTTGCATTGGGTACCGCTGAGTGGAAAACACTTAAGAAAATGTTGTTAAAATTACAGGTACTCTTAAATGAGATAAAGGAAATATGTTTTAGTTTTGCAATCAAAAGGGGCAGGCACAGCCTACAAGTCCCTATGCTGGGATGAGATTTTTTGACAGTAGATGGCTCTTCACTCTGGAAGAAAATGTATAATACGGTCCATTGCCTAGAAGCTGAAGCTACATCAGTTCAGACTAGAAGTGAACATTTTTAACTGTGAATAAAATTCACCAATGGAAAAAACTTCCTTGGGCATATGATAGATTCTGTATCACTTGCAGTCTTCAAATTGTCACTTGGTGTCTTTCTAAAATAGCACCACTGAGTGTTACTTACTTGATGCAATAATTGCATGATGATGTCCTGTGTCCTACAGGTGGCCAGAGTAGATGAACACTGGATTTTTAAAGCCAGCAGGACTCATTAATATAAATGAAATTAAAATGACTTTAGAGAGTACTTGGGTGTTTTTTTTCCCTCACTTTTTCAGACCTTATAGCAGCTCAGTCAGGTAGTTGAGATTACAACACTGGTTTTATTCAGGAAGCAAGTAGGTTCTCCTGAGCTGAGCATGTATTCAGAGAGACAAGAATGGAGGACATGGATGAAAAACAGCACTGTAATACTGTTTTCTGTTTATCTTGTTGCAGCTTTCTTTCTCCCCCACCACACCATTGAGCAGCCACATCAGAGTCCTTACTCTGCTGATTGCCATGTTACTCTCCTGTTGTGGATTAGCAGTTGTTTGCGGTGTTATTGGCAATACCCATGGAATGCACACTCTAGCCTTCATGGCAGCAGAGGTGAGGCTTCCTTTATATGCCTGTCTGTTTGCACTTTGTCTTCCCTGCTACCTTTGTTTTTTTTATGGGAGGAATTGTGCAGTTCGGTTTTTGAAGTCTCCAACCAACCAGCCAGGAAGAACTGAAAATTATGTTTCTGTTGTCAAGTAGTTGACCAATTTGGGTATTTCTCTGGGTAAAGTTTAAGAACAAATAAGTTTTGCTTGAAGAGATGGTAGCTGTATGTTCATGAATGCTGTCTTTTTAAGACCGTTGAAATCAAGAGTTCTGCATATATGCATATAAGAAACTGATAAATTTGTTTCATAAGCAATACAAGCAGAATTAGCAGAGGTATCCATTGCAGTATGTTTATATTTAAAATTTAACATGCAGCAGAATATTTATTTCATCTTCAGCATAGTATTTTCTATTTATGTTTTCTGTTGGGTGGGACTACACGTTTACCTTAGCTCAGACATTCAAAGCTGGCTATGCATATCAACTTAATATTGAATAACAATTCAGTTAGAGATGGCGAAGAGGAAAGGAAATGGACAGCTCAAAGTGGGGGTGCTCGTATTAGCAGATATAATAGTAGGAGAAAAAGTTGTGTAGAATCTCTGGAGGACAGTTGGTGAGATTGCAAGAGTAGCCATTCATAGCAACTGTTGAAGGATTTGATGTTTGTTTTATTAATGGTTTAGTGCAAATTCTCTAGAATATAAAACTGGGTCACAGGGTCAGGTTTGTGTTTGTGAAGCGTCCTGGGTTTGAAGATTTGTCATGTCACTATTTCTAGTATTAAAACCCCTTTCATCTTGGCTTTGTTCAAAAGCTGTTAGATTTGACCTATACTTATGTAGTTTAAGAAATAGATTCTTAAGTCAGATATCAGAAATGGATCTATACCTGTCCAGATGTTTCAATAACCATTTAGGGGCCTTATCGTTTGTTTGCACAAGTTAGCCTGTCTGGGTGCATCCAGATGAACATGCACGTGCTTCTTGCCCTGTCTCAAACCCATTTGAGATGGGGCAAGAGGCATGTGCCGGAATGCAGAAATGTTCCCCATGCTACTTACTTGCAGCACAGGGAGAAAATTAGATCCCTGGATATCCAGGGGTCGAAAAAAAATGGAGTTAAAAAAAACAGGACAGGGCACAGTCCCGGACCATGCCCTGAGGCAACTGGAGGCTGAGTCCTCCACAGAGATGCTCTGGCTGCCAGAGCATCTCTGTAGTTAGCCCCTTGCCCTGGTGCTGAAGCACAGGCAATGTGCTGCAGCGCCAGGGCTCCAGTGCCAGTAAGTAAGGGGTGGGGGGGGGGGCTGGAAGAGTGGGGAGGGGACTATGGGGGGGACCCCCACTGGCCCCACCCACTCCTGCATTCCCCCCCCAGTCCTGCCCTGTATTTTAAAGTCACTCTGTAAAATATCCCAAAATCCATTTTCCTCCACAATTAAAACAAAAGACCACTACATAGAGCAGGGGTGGGTAAAATCTGGCCCGTGGGCCAGATCGACAGGGATCTTCCCCCCCCTACCCCCTACGTACCAGTGCTGGAGCCTGAGTCCAGCTCCTTGTGACTGGCATGCCATATGTGGGCAGGCACCATGCTTCAGCGCCAAGGCAAGGACCAGCCATAGAGACGCTCCGGCTGGCTACCTGAGCGTCTCTGTGGAGGACCCAACCCCTGGTTGCCCCCGTTTTTTCCACTGAGGTTTTTTTTTTTTTACCCCTGGTCTAATTTTGACACCCCGTGCAGCAAATTTACGGTGTGGGGAATGTTTTCTTGTTCCCACATGTGCCTCTTGTAGCGTCTCAAAGGGCTTTGAGATGCTGCAAGACGCATGTGCGTGCTCATCTGGACCCGCTCCATGATGCAGAATCTATCAGATTACAGGTTTTTTAAAGTAGTTAAAATGTAGGGCATAAACTTTTTCATTTGACCCTTGACGGATGTTTTTCTCATCACGCATTTCATGCCGTGTCCTGTCTTTGACATAAATGTGTGCTCCACAATTTGCCCATCTAGAAGATCTGATTTATTGTTCTGTTTCACCATTTGCAAGGTTATAATTTGTTCACCATATTTACTTTTGCTCTGTGGTTTACTTTAGCAAGTTTCTCTGTAACTGAAAGCCCTCATGAGAACAAAGTACAGTAACTTTTCTGTTTCTGTAACCTGTGTGTGGTTGCTTCAGCAACAAGCAGAAGAAGCTTTCATTGTAATGTGTCTGATGCGTGCAGGTTATATAGCTGACTTCTTTTTAGTGAAAGATGACTCCTGATTATAGCATACAGTACTAGGTGATTTGCAAGTCTGCATTTTATCCTGACTTTTACGTGCTAGTTGGATGATTTGGATAGCATAAAATACCATGAAGATTTAATTTGGGTAAAGGGCTGCATTATTAAAAAAAAAATCTCTGAAATACGTATTCCACAGCAAATGAAGTGTGTTGGCAGATATTATGAATTATTAATGAATTAAGCGCAAGCTGAGGAATGTTTTTAATAGCACTTCTTAAAAAGGGGAGAGAAAAAAAGGAACTGAATCTGCAAGTTTATAGCTTCAGACGGGGATTGGAGTTTTCAAATTTCTCTCAGTTTTGTGTGCTCTCATGCTCAAGTTAAGCTTTTTGAAGCAATGTTTTGTTAAACTGATTCTCAATTGCCTCACTATAAACCTAATACATCCTTGTGGTACTCTGGACTTACCTCTTCTATTAGTTAAGGAGCAGATTTATAGCTGCTGATTAGGTGTCAGCGAACTCCTTTTGAACTTCAGACTTAGTCCTTCTCTGTACTGAGATCAGAACTATGTTAGATCTGATTACAGATAGCCAGCAAAGTTATGAGCCCAAAATGGATAGGGCTTCAAGGCTTAAAGGGGCAGCATGACGCACAAGGGCAGGGCAAAGAGCCTGGAGGCAGTTGACTTGGATTTTATTTCTGGCTCTGTGACCTTTTAGGTCACTTCTACCCTCTGCCTCAGTATCTTTAAAATGTGGGATGCAGTATTAATGATGGACCTCTTTTCCTTTTTCTTTCTTATAGTCTCTGCTTGTGACAGTGAGAACAAGTCATGTGATTTTACGGTAAGCAGTAAAGTTTTAGGTGATGCCCATTTTCAAACATTGAGGCAGATAGAGCTTCCCAGTTTTAAAAGTGGGGCTTAGTTTTCTTGCATTATTGCAAGTATCCCTTTTGGAGTGGGACAAAGGTAACACTGATCTTTAAAAATGATATTGTTTAGACAACCTTGGGATTCAGTGGAGTCGCATCTTACGCGGGAGTTAGGTTCTAAAGTCAGTGCGTAAGGTGAAAATTGCATATAGTCAAAATTGCACCAGATGAAGTAGTTGGCTTGCGTTTAGGGGCCATGTTGTACGAAAAATGCATATCTTTAAACACTAGAATCACACTCAGCATGTCGAGATGCTCACACTTTGAGAGGCGGGAACTCATTGAGTGGAATGGCGGGCGGAATCTCCCGCAGTATTTAAATTGTTATTTTTCTCTCTTTTTTTTTTTTTGCCAAGCGCGTATAGTTGAATTTGCGTAAGTTAAATGAGCATATGATGCGACTCCACTGTATATTCATAATGGTATGCTGAAACATGAACTAAAATGTTGTCATTGTATGAGACAGGACTTAAATTGGGCTGTTAGTGATGTAGTACTTTTCTTAGATGGTCTTATTCTCCAGAGCCATAGTTCTCTTTTCATTTATAAAGAAAAAAAAGAAACATGTAGGTATGAAAGTGTTGACAACAGCCTCTGTCAATAACTGGTAGAACAATGTTTTTTAGCCCATGCAACTTAGATGGATGCTCTGTCACCTGGAGGCATCTCAATGCCAACATGTTCCAGGGCTCGGAGCTAAAACCTGCTTGCTTAATTTATCACAAATAATGGTCTTTAAATCAGTGGGGTTACTGAAATTAGTAAAAAGTTCAGATTTGGACCCAGGTGTTGAGGAGGGGAAGGAAACAGCAGCTGATGGGGGAAAAAAAATGGTAAAATTGATTAAAAATATTTAAAAAAAAAAATGTTGGAGATCAGTCTCTACACTTCAAAAAAAAAAAATAACAACAACAATGACATCTCTTCCAGTTATGTAATTCATCTCTGGGATCTCAACCATGAAGGAACATGGGAAGGCAAAGGAACTTATGTGTATTATACAGATTTTGTCATGGAATTAACCTTACTTTCACTGGACTTAATGCATCATATTCACATGTTGGTACGTAACATTGAAATTAACACTGAGGAAGACTTCATTATCTTAATATCAAGTGTTCAAACTGCATACTCTTTAAATATTTAATAGGCTGAACATTGCACTGAGGCTGTCTAGATATAGAAATGGAACTATAATGTGACTTCCTAGGTATTGTCTGCCTGCATAATTGAACTCCTTTGAACCAGTTTTGGTTTGGGGTTTTTAACTTCCTGTATAATTATCTGTTTAATAGATGTTTAACTATAAATTAATTTGCCCTTGAGAAATGTCAGACCAAATTGTCAGCAGAACCAAATTATTTCTGTTCCCGGAGGGAGACAGCAAATTGGTCTGAAGTTTGTTTTTTTGCTGTTGTGAGTGTTTTGCAGTTTTCAGTGTGAATTTAACAGTGAATCTTTTGATGATGTTTAGTTAATCTTTAGATGTTGACTAGTCTGGGTGAAGGTAAAATAAATTCTTTAATACTGGCTTCTTTTTGTATTGTGTGAACTTGGATCATTCCTTCTCCTCTCAAGGTGATTCAACTCCCACAGGCTGAAATAAATGTTCCTGCAACTGAACTTTCACTCCTGTCTTTTCCCTCCAACCCCAGTTGTAAAAAATGAATAGCTGTTTCTTTGAAAACATAACTGACAGGAAAAAAGTCCTGTTTCAGTGTAACATCTGTTAATGTGGCTTTGTGTGTGTGTACTGGGGGGAGGGGGGAATTTACTTTTTTGGAACAACTGCCTAAAATTTGCAGAGCCCTTCAGACTCTGTAATGCTCCATTTTTTTAAGCTTAGCGGCTTGTATGTGAAGTGCATTTTATGCTGTTTGTATGTCCTTCTCTTTGATTCCCTGGCATTCACTTCTGCACTACTGCTCCTTTCTTTTTTTAAAAAAAAGCTATTTGGCAACATCTGGTTGTCGATGGCCAGCCTGGTGATCTTTATGCAGCTGCGTTACCTGTTCCATGAGGTTCAGCGTAGAATCCGCCGTCATAAGAACTACCTGCGTGTGGTTGGAAACATGGAAGCCAGGTGAGCAAATGATGAGAGAGTGAGAGGCTCAAGTGAGTTTCAAATGCTGATTTAGATCCTGAAGAGAGAACCTCTTGATTAATACATACATCCTGTGTTCCTTCAGTGTGTATCATAGTTTTGGGCTAGGGAGGCCCAAACTTGCAAAACCAGTTGTTAAGTTTTTATGCTTATATCATGCCAGTAGCAATTTTTAAAGTTTATTTTGCCATCTTCTGGGCTTATTTTGCCACCTCTCATGCTTATTAGAAACCCAAGTTTCACTTTTATTATAACGTTGTAACCAGTAACTAACGTTACAGAGAATTATCTAGGAACTGTTATTTATAATCTTTGGGCTCATCTACATGTGTACTTCAGTGCGCATTAGCCTATTTTAATGTACTTTAAATCGTCACAAAAATGCTCTTTAGCTAATGTGCATTAAAATAGGCTAATGTGCATTTTCTAGTACCTTACAATTGAGGTACTAGATTTAATGCATATTACATAAAGCACATTAATGAATGTGTAGATGTGCCTTTTGGCACTAGGGAAGGAATAAGAGGTTCAAAGTTTTAAATCCCAGTTGTCAAACTTTGGCCTTCTCCATGTTAGAAACATTTGCTGGTATATCTAAAATAACTTAAGAGCAACCTAACTAATCGGTACAAACTACTGCAGATAGTTGCCCTTATATTGAACTTGGGTCAGTTAGTTACCAACTTATGCTGGCTCAGTATCTTAAACAGAAAGTTTTCCTCAGCCTTCAGTTATTAGGATTAAGCTATTAGGATTTGTCCATAAAGCAGTAATTCACAAATGAAAGCTATGTTGATTTAAGCAAAGTTTAATCATGTCTAAGAGCATGTGTTTAAATAATTATTTCTATATTTTTTTAATGTAGTGTGTTTGGTGTAGACAATGCCTTCATCTCAGGGTTAAAGCTGAAGCATCAGGTTGGCATGGAGATATACATGATCTGAGAAAAGGCTGAAGTGCACAGTATTATATATGGGAAAGTGCATGCAGACTATCATATCACCAAAGACTGGTTGATCTCTTCATTATTGTTACCTTTCCTTTTGTCTTTTTTGGGTTTCAGTAAAATTCTTTACCATTTTGAATTCTGTGGATTTTTCACCCTTTTAAAAGAAACCCTGGAATTGAAGTTATACTAGATTTAAAATAGTTTCAGAATTCCAGAATAGTAGGACTGGAAGTAATAATCTATTGGGGCAGGATTAGGATAAGAGGTATGTAGATGCTCAGAATTCAACCAGGAGTCTCTAGATCTTTAATCTAACTCTCCCAATTGGGCTATGGTGATAGTGATAGCAAAGTCAGTAATAGAACTCCTTCTTTGTGTAGTCTCAATCATTCACACCAGGGATCCAAGTGAATCTCGCTATCCTTGAGGTGTGTTCATCACTAATTCGGAACTAGACTTCTAGGCCAGTTAGTAGGGGTGTGCGAGACAGACTGTATTCGATTCGGATTTGGTCTGAATCGGGGACAGTGATTCGTTGATTCAGATCACTGTGCCTAGTTCAATTCGGCCAAATCCGAATCTGAAGATTTGATGCTAATTCAGAGAATCAGCGATTTGGCCATAGATACAGCTTTAAATGTTTTTTCTACATACCTTGAGGTACCAGGCGCGGCTTGTGAATGCTGCGATGCTGGGGCACATGGAGCATCCCACAGGAGCGCGGGGGGGCCCCCCACATGCTCAGCAACGAACCTGGAAGTGGACCGGAAGTAATTCCAGTCCACTTCTGGGTCCACCAGGGAGTGTGGGGGGGGGGCCCATGCCTCGCAGCTTGGTGACTGGC